CACTTTATTAATAAGATACAAATAATATTGTACTCATAAATGATGAAAATTATGTTATCTAACACATGTTTGTTTAGAGTCACAGGTCCCTATTGTTTGATGATGAATCTTCATCTGGTGTTTGAAATTACTTGGTATAGGGTGGATCATGTTGTGGGGTTCTTTTGGTTATGTAATTTTTTTTTTTATGCTCTGTTGTGTTCATTTTGACAGAGGGTTATCATGTAGTATATGTGTTAATGGACTTCAATTTACTACAGACGGTTATCATGTAGTATATGTGTTAATGTTTTAATTAAGAATTTTTTAGTCAACAAAATGTTTTTTTCTTTTAAAATTGTATGCTTTATAATTTAAGTTTTCAGAAATGATGTTGTGGTATTGTTGAATCCTGGGAGTGGGAAGTAGCAAATAAAACCGAATTAATTAACTTATTGAAGAGGTGTTGATATCCGAATTAATTAACTATGCAATTTGTGTTTGTTTTTTGTAGCGCATTTCATGTTGTATGGTTTTGAGTCCACTCACAATAGGACTTGCCCTTAATTTCACGTTCACAACAAATCAATTTAAAAATAATTAAATCATGTTAAGATTGTGCATAGTATAATCATATTCGTGTTCCATAATTTTATATACATATATAAATCATAAATGGGTTCCATGCGATTTTTTTTCCGTAATGATTTTAACTACCATTAATATATGAACTTAATATCGCATATATGGTGATGAATCATATAATTTTATGCGATTCAACTTCCTAAAATTACGTCGTGTACCATATTTTTTTAATTACTAAATGATCACCATACTAATTTATTCCGTAACTTCCATATGTGTATCCACTAAATCACGTCCGGAATTGGCGCACAGTAAGTTTATCTGATTTTTTTTTTTTTGAATTATCGTAAACAACTGGGAACGTCATCTTCATTTTCCGACGCTGGCAACGGAACATACAACCGAACAGTGAAAATTCATTGGACCTTCAACGGACTACAACACCCCTGTAAGTATAATACACCTTGTTTAGATTTGTATAAGTTTTAACATCCAGTGTTTTTTGACAGATCTTGTTTAATTATTACACAGGATTTAATTCCATGGAAAATGACGAAGATATTAGTTTCAACTCACCTGAAGCAACCGATGCCAAAGCCAAGATTTCTCGTCACAAGGACGATAATGAAATGCGCGATAATAGTTTTATGTCATGGGAGGATGCTGAAAAATGGTACATCAATTATGCCAGGAATGCAGGCTTTGATGTTAGACGATGCAACTGCAAGACTACAAAGGAGGGGTTGGTTAAGAATAGGCAATGGGAGTGTTCTCGGGCAGGCTACAGACGTAAAACTTTGGACGAACACCAAAGAATTCGAGCGGAAAAACCAAACATGAGATGTGGCTGCGATGCCAAATTCCGTGTTGCACATGATGCCAATGAGGGATTATACCGTGTCACCAAATTCGAAAAATCACACAATCATCCTCTTGAGAGTGTGGAAACAGCTCATCGTCTTAAGTGTAATAGGTAATAACAATTTTTAGGTTTCAATCGCATCTACAAATTAGATAAACAGTACCTGTTTTTTTATATTAAAAATGATGAATAAATTAATCGCAGTATTTCTTGTAGGCAAATGTCGGAATCTGAAAAAACATTGTTGATGACAATGAATGATGCCGGCATCCGGACATATCAGACGTTGAATTACATTAAAAATATGTCTGGTGATCATACAAGCATACATCACAAGAAAAAAAATGCATACAACTACCTTTCGAAGCAAAGGAATGATACAATGCGTAGTGGTGATTTTAATACTGCTCTTGCTGTGCTCGAAGGAGCGAGGATCAACGATCCTAACTTGGTTGTAGAAACAACGTGCGACGATGAAGGGAGGTTAACCAAACTTTTTTGGTGCGATGGTTTTTCTCAGGCAGCCTATGTGCAATTCGGTGATATTCTGATTTTTGACAGCACGTACAAAACAAACACATACAAATTCCCATTGGTACTATTTTCGGGGATAGATAACCACCTGAATACCACAGTATATGGTGGGGCATTGCTGCAGAACGAGACAACCGAGTCAACGTATGGTTGTTAACAGTGTTTGTTGCGTCAATGAAAGGGACGATGCCTATTACTGTTATGACTGATCAAGATGAGGCAATGCGTGCTGCAATAAATAAGGTCTTACCTGATGCTAAACACAGGCTATGTGCCTGGCAGCTGGAGAGAAATTGTGTCCAACGAGTTAAGGTCCATGATTTTTGCAAAGTGTTCGGTAATTTCATAATGAAAAATTGGACAACTGAGGAATTTGAATCAGAATGGGAATTGCAAACTCTCAAACATGGTGTAGCGGATAATCCATGGGTCAAAGAAACGTTCAAAAAAAGACATCAATGGTGTGATGCTTACCTTCGAGGGAGTTTTATGGGGATGACAAGGACAACCCAACGAGCAGAATCTTTGAATGCGCTCTTCAAACATGGAGGCACATCCGGTAGGACGATTACGGAGCTCCTCAAATGTTTCCATCGCGTTGTGGGATCGTTGCGTTCAACATTCTTTAAGAAGCAGGAAGATTCGGAGATGAATCAGTTGGACATTCCATTTGGAGCACCACTACACGGGATTCAGAATCAACTAGCTGGAATATATACACGCTCCGTTTTCGCTAAAGTTCGGAAGGAGATAGAAGACGAGCAGAGTAATATTGTACTTAATAATCAGAGTTTCGATGGAGACTCACATGTATTCAAGCTGGAAAGATATGGTCATGCAGAACGTAGACGTTTCACTGTACGCGTAATTTTAAGTGAAGGCAATTTCGAGTGTGATTGTAGAATGTTGGAAACTGATGGTTTGCCATGTAGTCATCTCATTACCGCATTCAAGTACTTGCATCTTCGAAAAGTGCCCACCCAATGCATACGCAACAGATGGACGACAATTGCTGGAAAAGAGCTTAGAGAAAAATTTCACTTAATACCTGCAACTAATGATCCACAACGGAAAAGGTATTCTCAACTGTATACGGAATCAGTTGACATGTGTCTGAAGGCGTCGCAGAATGAATCCGATACGTCAAGATGTTTGAAGAAAGTTCGACGTGCAACGGATAACATACACAATAAACTAGAACAAGATACGGGAAAATCAACTGATGATATTGATAAAGAATCACAAGTACTTAAGGATCCAGCTAGAGGGTGTAAACAGAATGAAAATTCGGGCGACCCACGTAGGACTAGGTCTAGAGGGGCACCTCCAGCAAAGAAGCAAAGATGCAAATCATGCGGGTACATACTTTATACCTTACACATGAAAATATTTATTCTAAGACACAAGTATGTACTTTATTTATTATTTACGATATGCGAATCGACTTTTGTTTTGCAGTGAACCTGGGCATAAAACGACTACATGTCATTTGAAGATATCGAGTAGTCAGCCGTCACAGTCTGAATTTGGAAATGAGGATGATTTTTTCACTCCAATCGGAACTCAATTTAAATGAAATGAATACAGTGAGACACGATTTTTTTTTTATGTATGTTTGGGGAGAGGGGTTAAGTTCCAGTGAGCTACTTAAACAGTGCTTTAACCCTTTATTGCAGGTGAAATACCTAATATAGCTTTGGAGTGTGGGGCTCTTGTGGACAGGATGGTGTGGCATGGGCAAAGTGAAATAGTTGTTTTTTAAAATCACCAAATTAAAGGTTGAACCAGGGATGCAGACTCATATTGAAGATCATGAGCATATTGTATGTTCTGAAGACAAGTGTGTAATATTATTTTTTTGGAGTTTGTCCACTCGAAGCCAAATGTGTTTTTTCCTGGGTGTCTAGTTGTGCCTCTTGGTAGACTAGTTCACTTGTAATCATTTGGCTATGCCGTATTCGAACTTGCTTATTTGATTTTAATTCAAGTATGTCGCTTGTACAATAAAATAAAATAAAAATATCGGCTAAGGTTTGTAATAAAATTTATGAAAGTCTAATGAAGGAAATCATATACAATGAACAGCGAGATTCACAAGTAGTTAAAGTACCCATCATATTAAACAACCAAAATAGACAAAACATAAACATCAAAGTCAGGCTAGTGAGATTTAACAAGTTTCATCCAACAAAATCCAACCTATTTCATCAGTGAAACATCCATAATAACATAAACTTACAGAATGGCATGGCGGTCTATTGCCGACGAAAGTAATCCTGAAACCCGTCAACGTCGCTTACATGAGAGCAAGCGTCGGATATGGAATCGTCAGAAAAAGTTTCATTCATCGGTTGATCATTCGCAGCTGGGGTATCGAAGTTCGTCGAGTCGACCACCTCTCTCGAGATTGTCTTAGGCTCCATTTCATCAGGATACTCGATCAAGCGGCCTAACGGTCGGAAGATTGCCAGTAGTGTATCCCACTTCGGGTCCGGTTTATCAAACAAGTAGAATGAAATTGCCCAATGCTTGATTACAGGAAAAAATACATTGTTAAATGACATCACAAAAGAGTCCGAAAAACAGCTGTTCGAAACTGGATAATTCATCTTTACCTCAATGGCGACATCTTGAACGATAACGGGTACATGCATGGTAAAATTGTAGAGGTCGTGAAACACATCCTTCTGCTCCAACAGCCAATTCATTGTACGATACCTTTCTTTGAGGACATTGTACATCTTCCAAGTTTCCTTTAAAGAGAACCCAATGTTTATCTCTTTGACAAATGTTGCATGGATCACCCTAAAGTTAAGACAAATGTCTGACTCTTGGTTCATGCGCTCCATTACGACGAAGCGCCGCAAAATCACGCAAAACCTGTCCTCGATCCATTGCTCCCACCGTTTGAGCATTCCATCTCTAATATACTTGAAATAGCCGCGCTTGGTCTTAGGCAATGTAAAATCATCCATTGGTGCTTACTTATTTTTTGTGTTTTTGCAGCACTGCAGAATCTGAAGTGGTGGTTGTGGTATGAATGGAGATGAAAGGTTACCGGCTGTTTTGGTATGATGGGAAAAAGTAAGGTAACTTGTGGTTTTATATTTTGTTAAGTGTGCTTTTGGGCTATGATAGCACTGATTGGTTGGGGTTCAACAAGCATTAACACCTTTTATGCTGTTTTGTTCAAGTATGCGTGGCCCTTTAAATTGATGCGACCCTTGGTAGACCTCATCACGTGGGCTTGCCCGGATTCATTTTCCCATTAAATTGCTTTGTTGACATTAAGTCCAAATTGCCCTCATATATAAATATAAAACTTGAAATCGGGTTGCAAATAGAACCCTAAGCTCCGCAGCTCCTCCTCGACACGAAGACAAACTTGAAATCTTAGGTGAGATTTAATTTCGTTGAATTTCGCTGAATTTTGGTTCATTTTTTAAGACAAACTAATTGGACACAAGTGTTATCGGAGACTTTGCTAGTGTCCAGTTTCTAGGTTAAATTCTACGTATTGGTGTCTGATTTGAACCTGTGTTTTTCGCCTTTTGGCCATTGTCTGTGAGTGCTTTTTGTTTTCATTTCGAACAATGATGGTAAATTTGTTGACACTATTAATTATTGAATGTTGTCTTTCTTAATTTGTTTTCATTGTTGTAGCTTAATTTGTCCAGTTATCTGTTATTTTGGTTTGGTTAGTCCGTTTGGTATAGCTTTTCAGGATCCTGGTAAATGCGGTTTCAACAAGTTATTCATAATTGTGCTTTTTTTTGGATGTACTCTTGTGGTTCTGATTTTTTTCAAATAAACTGTTAATTGGTTTGCATAGTTTACTTGTATATTTTCACGATGGGATCTAGATTGGAACGAGCTGCTGTGTTGGATTCTCATCTTATTTAGTTCTCTGTTTTCTAAACCACTCCATTGGACAAAGCCCTTCTCATAAGATATGAAGCTTTTTAGATACAAGAACAATGGCACTGTTATGTTTCTATAATTGCTGTGGTAATTAATTTAGTACAACTTTGTGCGTCATAGGCAACATTTTGTGTTTGCCGTACAGTCCAAATGAATAAGGTCAGAGTATAGATCTTTATTTCTGATATGCTAATTTGAATGTGTTTTTCTTAGGTGTTATGTAATGGCTGACGAGTGGACAAGATTTTTTAAGATCATTCTTGAGACACAAATGAGTTCCCTGGTACGAGGGTCTTTCTAAATAATAGCATAATATGTTATGTTAATTTTTTTCCTGGTTTTGTTGGTGTACGTTATATTAATCTATATTTTAAACTTCATATACTTAGTCTCTCCCTCCTGCAATTTCGGAACATTATGGGTCCGAGCTTCCACAAAAATGTATAATCCAGACTTTAGAAGGACGTGAGTATGAAGTAACTCTGAAAATGGTGGATAATCAGCCGACCTTGGTCGAAGGATGGGATGCTTACATTCAGGCAGAATACATTGAAATACATTACATTCTGTTTTTCAAGAGAATCAATAATTTCCATTTCGAAATTATGGTGACGGACAAAACTGGTTGTGAAAGAACACCGATATACCACTTTTGTTTGGACATAAAAAAATCGCACATTGACCGGGCACGCTTCGTAAGTAAACACTGCTTAAATCTTTATTTTTTCAAATGAATACTATTTCATATATATTTCCCATACGCTGAAATGAACTGACAAAAATGCAGCCAATTCCAATACGTTTTTGGAGAGACCACATCGAGGGAAACTTTAACAACTACACTAAGGCTGTCATCATGTTCAATGAGAAGGTTTATAAAGTTGATGTAATTCATGGTAATGGCAAGAGATTGTTGCAAAACGGAGGTGCTCGACAGTTTGTGATTGATAGTGGCATATTGGTTGGTTCTTCATGCATGTTCACCCACGTAGGACCACTCAACCCGGATAAAGTGATCAAGTTCAGGGTTAGGCAAATTTAGGCCATGACAAACTTATGTTCTTTTTTGTAATTCACCTGGATGGTGATTAAAATTATAATATCTGTTTTAATGAATTGTAAGCTACTAGATACATGGTCCTTTTGTTCGGTTGGTAGCCTAACTTTGGTAACTATATTTTCAAGTGTCTTGTGTGTTCATTTGGAATCTTCTGATATTTGTTGTGACTTCATTCACTTTCATGCGGGTTTGAAAAAATAAACTCAATTGACATTGAATTATAGAAAATCTGAGAAATATCTTAAACATTAAGATGGTTGTCGGTTGCCTTTCCAAGTTAACCTGTCTGTTCATTATATTGCACTTTTACTTATTTTGCTGATTCCAGTTTTTATAACAAATCATGAACATGTGACTCATATTAAGCAGTGGTATTTGTTGGATACGAACACGCATTTATGAATGTCAACTCATAGACAGACGTGTACAAGTACCTTGTCAAAAATAGCCTCCATAATCAACAACAAGACTTTTTTTTCCCAAACGACAAACAGACAAATATTATTGCTCAAACCAAAGTCTTAACTAACGAGATCGGAGTAGGCACAAAGCACCATTAACCAACACCATTCAGTCTATGCTACATGAGGAAATCAGATTATAAATCCCCTTGGAACGCCATTGTGGCAAAAGAAAGTGAAATTGTACAAGTAGTAGGTTACCTTCTTCAAAATATATACTATAGCTCTTTCCACAACACACACCTACAGTATATGCCTCCACTGAAACTATAAAATAAGTACTTGAAAGAATCACACAACTGCAGATTACCCTCTTCAATGAAAGCCCTACCTCCCAACCCCTATCTTCAATTGATCCTTTACCAACTAAACCCACACTCCTTATTTCCCAGGCAATCCCAAGAAACCCCCAACAGCTACCAACACAACTTACCTCTATGACAAAGAAAAATCACACAAAATTTCACACACAACTTCACAACTTCACACTCAATCGCCTTCTTCCTCAATTGGACTCTAAATTAATATACTCAAACCAACATCTCCAAAGGAATGTTTTGATCTTACTCTGAAAGGGAAGCTGCCAAGTTACCTTCCACATGTTCAAGATTTCCTTATGATTGCCGCAATCACCCGTACTGACCTCAGAATACCTTCAGTGCTTATTGATGGTGTTGTAGACTTCTTTGACAGAGAAAATGCCTGGCCTGCACCAATCCCACACCAGATTATGTCTCAAGCTCACAGGATTCAGAAGAATGCGCTTAAGTCTTTGAACACCAAACCCCCCCATCCTTGGGTCTATCTAACTTAACAATAATGAATTAGATCACAACATCATGGACAAAAAATCACAAAACTTAATACAACGGATTAAATCATCATGGACAACATCACAACGGATTTCAGGTTGATGTCATCATGGACAAAAATAAACGAGATTAAATCACAACGGATTCCAGGTTGATGTCATCCCAAATGGATTAGTTTACAAAACTTAAAACAGTACAGACATATCAGGGATTGATCAACTGGCCATTAACAACAAAACACGAAGCAACACACATTCATCAACCCTATTCAGGCATGTCATCAAACATGTAATGTGCTTGATAAGGACAAACAAAAAATAAAAGAAACGTCCGTCAACAAATTCACCTACTGAAATCAGATCAAATATTTTTCCAAAAGCATTGAATAAAGGGAATTGTATAACAAAATCACCAGAAAATATTCGAGATAATGACGGGAATTTACAATCATACATCAAACAACGTTGCTTGTCTTTACATTTGGAGTACAAAATCACTATGACACAAACGCATTTAAAAAATACCTAGATGCGTCGACCGCGCCTCATAAACATTTGATTGGATCTGTACCAATTTTTTACGTATGGTTCGTGAATCGTTCGAACAATTGTGTATGCTGGAAGTATAGTTCTGGGATTTTGATGAGAAAGTGAATAAATTTATGGGAAGTCGATGAAGATGAGGTTGTCGTAGAACAAACGAAGAACAAGAATAATTAGAAGAACAATAAGATTTTTTTTTTTTTAATTCGTATGATGATCAGATGATAAATAATACAAAAGTTGAGGATGTAATGATATGTTATTGTAATTGTAGGATTGTTAGACAAATAAGTTAAATAAATGTCCTTCAAAATAAATACAATTAAGATTTTATAATTAATTTATGTTTAAATTAAAAGTAAGGGTATAATTGGTTTTTTACCATGTACGAGGTGTACGAGCCATGTACGAGACAATTCATGTACGAGGCAAATTCTTTTTTGTCTCGTACATTGAATATGTGGTTGATATTCAATCTTGAAACAATCTAATGGTTAATAAGGGGGGTATCTGATGTTATGCACGTACGAGGGGTACCTGACCCTAGAAGATCCCTAAATACAATTCATTTCATCGCCGCCTACTCTTTTTTTTTTCGTCTTCTTTGTTTTGTGCCATCCATCCCTATATTATTAGCCACTTAGTTTGTACTTTATGATGTTGGATGCGGGCTGGGAGCACTGGTCGCGAAGTGTGGTCACAATTGACCATTGATAAATCTGACGAAGGAACGATTACAACCAAATTTGAGTATACAAATTAGTGTTCTTCTATTTTGTTTCGATTGTTATATGTTTTTTCTAGGCTCTTCAATCTCCTTTTTCAATTTTATGATTTTGTATTCATCTCAAAAAAACTGAAATGATGGGGATTTAGAAGAACCGGCGACCAGCGAGAACCGGTTCTGGGTCAGCGGTTCGAACGGTTCTCGACCAGTTTGAGGTTTCCGGCTGGTTTCAGCTCTGAGCGGTTTAATCCCTTGAGCCGGATGGATCGAACCTATACACTTATCGGTTTCCAGTTGAACCAGTCGAACCTGCCTGTCTGATCTGGTTTTCTAAACTATGGTTACCTCTTCATAGTTTCATTTGTTCTAAAACAGGTCATTCTTCTTTCCAGGGCGGATCCAATTTCTTCTT